AATGACCAGCAGGACTGATGACCAACAGGACTGATGACCAACAGGACAGATGACCAGCAGAACCGATGACCAGCAGGACAGATGACCAACAGGACCGATGGATGACCAGTGGGACCGATGACCAGCAGGACAGATGACCAGCAGGACCGATGACCAACAGGACAGATGACCAGCAGGACCAATGACCAGCAGGACTGATGACCAACAGGACTGATGACCAACAGGACAGATGACCAGCAGAACCGATGACCAGCAGGACCGATGACCAACAGGACCGATGACCAACAGGACCGATGGATGACCAGTGGGACCAATGACCAGCAGGACCGATGACCAGCAGGACTGATGACCAACAGGACTGATGACCAACAGGACAGATGACCAGCAGAACCGATGACCAGCAGGACAGATGACCAACAGGACCGATGGATGACCAGTGGGACCGATGACCAGCAGGACCGATGATCAGCAGGACTGATGACCAACAGGACCGATGACCAACAGGACCAATGACCAACAGGACCGATGGATGACCAGTGGGACCGATGACCAGCAGGACCGATGACCAGCAGGACCGATGACCAGCAGGACAGATGACCAACAGGACCGATGGATGACCTGTGGGACCGATGACCAGCAGGACAGATGGATGACCTGTGGGACCGATGACCAACAGGACCGATGGATGACCAGTGGGACCGATGACCAGCAGGACCGATGACCAACAGGACAGATGACCAACAGGACCGATGGATGACCTGTGGGACCGATGACCAGCAGGACAGATGACCAACAGGACAGATGACCAGCAGGACCAATGACCAGCAGGACTGATGACCAACAGGACCGATGACCAACAGGACCGATGACCAACAGGACCGATGGATGACCAGTGGGACCGATGACCAGCAGGACAGATGACCAGCAGGACCGATGACCAACAGGACAGATGACCAGCAGGACCAATGACCAGCAGGACTGATGACCAACAGGACTGATGACCAACAGGACAGATGACCAGCA